CTAATCCTCTGCCTGCGGCGCCGGCACCCTGGGTTCTAGTCCCGGTCAGGGCGCCAGATTCTGTCCCGGTTGCCCCTCTTCCAGGCCAGCTCTCTGCTGTGGTCCGGGAGTGCAGTGGAGGATGGCCCAAGTCCTTGGGCCCTGCACCCGCATGGGAGACCAGGAGAAGCACCTGGCTCCTGGCTTCGGATCGGCCGCAGCGCGCCAGCCATAGGGGCCATTTGGGGGGTGAACCAACGGAAAAAAGGAAGACGTTTCTCTCTCTCTCTCTCTGTCTAACTCTGCCTGTCAAAAAAATTATAAAGAATAAAGTTTATCTCAGATCATCTTGGGCGTCTTCAGGGACCACCATGAATTTTTGGAGTTTTCTCCTGATGTCTGGAGTGCACTGTTTCAGCGATATCTCCTTTAAAAGATTGGCCATCCCATGGAATCCGGGTCTAATGGGGTGTATCTCGTGAAATACCTAGCTGAAAAATCACATTATAATTAACACCGCCCACTAGAGGCCAACTTTCTCCATCCTCTGCCTTGCGTCCAGGCCAGGCAGCGGTGCAGAACAAGACGCTGTGTTTTCTCTTTATCTCTGGGAGCCGAAGGAGCCCAGTGGAGGCAGAGAGTCGGAGTTCCGGCAGTTCAGCTCAGCACTGGCTGAGAGCCCCGCCCGGACGACTGCAGTCAAGCCACTCTGTGTGTTGGTCACTGGCCCGGTAATAATGCGCAGGATGGAGCACAGTGCGGCGCTTCAGCACGTGCATACGGTGTGTGACGACCAGGCCAGGGCGCGTGGCATATCTGTTACCTCAAATATCTCCCTTTGTTGGGAACATTAAAATTAAAATTTAAAAGTGTTACCTATTTTGAAATACACTCAGGTCTGTGGCCCAGCCCTTCCTCTGTGATGAAAGCTCTGGTCTCTTCTCTTCTCTCTCCCCAGCCTCTCGGGACCACGGCTTCCCGAGGCTGCTTGGGGGCTGTTGCTTCTTCTTCGTTGCCTTACACAGTGGCTCTTCTTCTCAGCATTCTCTTGGTCCACTTTCCCTGCTGCTGTTGCTTGTTAAGGCACAGGCCTTTGTGACTTAAAACTTGGCCAATGAACTGCTCATAAACAATCTTGGTTGTCCTGTATATCGTAGCCCGCCGAAGAAATGTCACACTGATGAAGTCTTTTAAAAAATTATTCATTCATTCATTTGAAAGGCAAACAGAGAGATGCAGAGAAGGACACAAGATTTTATTATTCATTTGAGAGGTAGAGTGAGACAGTGAGAGCGAGAGACAGAGAGAGAAGTCTTCCATCCACTGGTTCACTCCCCAAATGGCCGCAACGATCGGAGCTGTGCCGATCCAATGCCAGGAGCCTGGAGAGCTGGATCGGAAGAGTAGCAGCCGGGACACAAACCAGTGTCCATATGGGATGCCGGGCCACAGGCAGACTCTTAGCCTACAGCACCACAGCGCCTGCACTACACAGATTCTATTTTTCATCTGTTGGTTCACTCCCCCAACTGACCACAATGTCCTGGAGGCTGGATCCAAACCATTGTGTGCCTCTCTGATGATCTCGATAACAAGCCTGCTGGACCGAGTGAAATCTTAGTGGTCAACTACAGCCGGCCTCCTGAGTTGAAGTCCCAGCCCTGCTGTTGACAGATACCGCGATCATGGGCAAGTCCCTTAAGCAAGTCCCTTAAGCAATTTGAACTTCAGGCATCAACAAATGAGGAACCGGGTGAGTAATAGTCCTTAACTCATAGGGTGGCTGAGCATTAAGTCAGCTACTACTACAGGCAAAGCTTCAGCACCAGGCCTACAGCAGATCCTCAAAGTGTCATGCATAAACAACACAAAAGAAAGCATGCCTATCGATCTACTAGAATCACGCCTCTGCCTTGGTGGGTCAGTAAGGGAATCCTTCCTGAGATCAGCGATGTTTCTCCAGCACTGGGGGACATCTGAGAATAACCGAGGGAGCGCCCAGAAGGGAGCAGAGGAGCAGGTGCGGTGACAGCAGGATGGCCCAGGGCAGCGGCAACACCTGAGGGCTGCGAGCCACCCACAGGTCTGGGCGAGAGGGGCAAGCAGGAGGCGCAAGGCCCGTGGTGGGGAGGGAGTCTCGGAGGCACGGGGAGGCCCAGGAAGCTGCAGCAGGGACACCGCGGTGTAGACAGAGTAAAGCAGCCTGCAGCTCCTTGACCCAGGCTGGCAGGGTGACCTCGCGCAGGCCCTCGTGGAGAAGCTTCCGTGTTCGCGAAACAGGGAGACCCAAGGAATCCTAGCGGAAGCGCTCTGCTCACTGCAGCTCGCGTCATCACCGCCAGAGAAACCACGGGAAAGCCGCGTGCAGAGCACAGCCCTGAGCTGGCGGGCACGCAGGACTGCGCGTGTGCAAGGCGTGGGCGGGGCCGGAGGCGAACAGGCTCCGCCCCGGACCGCCCACGTCTCTGCTCCCTTCCCGCCCCTCCCACTCCCTCAGGGGCCCAACCGGGCGTCCCTGCGCGCTGACGTCAGGTGCGTGCCCCTGTGGACCGCCGTGGGAGCCCGCGCGGTGATGGCGCGCGCTTGCCCGGTCCCGGTGGGAAAGCTGAGGTGAGTGAGGCGCCCGGGACGGTTCCGGACCGCTGCGTTCCCGCCTCTCTCAGCCCTCGGGAACGGCCCGTTCTGGTGTCCGGGCAGCCTCGGCGCGTGGGGCAGTGGCGCCCCGGGCCGGGTTCTGTGAGGGGCCGCGGGAAGGGGGTCGCGGCGGGCAGAGCAGGGGTCGCGCGGCCCGGGGCGGGTCTGACCGGCCTCCGCCGCCCTCCCGGTGCCCCCGAGCCGCCGTCGCCCTCTCCCCCGCCGTCGCGGCCTCCCTTGCGGACCGGTCCCGGAGCGCCGCGCGGAGCCGTCCTGGGGCCGCCTGCGGGGTCCTCTGACCGGGGCGGGGGGGGGGGGGTTTCTTGTTCGTTTGTTTTTTTCCTCCCCTTGAAGTCCGGGGGAACGCGGTGTGGACGATGACGTCATCGCCGTCGGAGGGGCGAGCCCCGCGGAGGGCGGCGGCGCGCGGGGCCTCGGGCGGTCCCGGGTGGGTGCCCCCGGCCGCCCTGCCACGCTCCCGCGCGGAGGTGCTGGTGGGCTCCGGCCGCCGCCCGAAAGGGGAGGTTTAAGGTCTCAGAAGCTCCTGCCCCGCCGCGCGGACCGCGCTCTGCTGGAGCGGGCCAGGCCCGGGGGGTCCTTTGCCCCAGGCTCTGTGACCCCCCCACCGCCCCCCATGGCGGACTTCCTGGGGGCGGAGGACCCGCCCACCTGGACAGAGGTGTGGTTCGTTGGGTTGTTGTTTTTTATTTTTTGTGGCAAAGGTGTGTTGAGAAGACAATCAGTCTGTTTTTACAGTCTGTTTTTGCTTGCCGGACACTTCCGTTTTGTCCATGAAAACGAATTTCGGATTTTTAACAACAACAACAAAAACCCAGTGTTTCCCGACTTTGTGGTTGACAGCGTTGTTCCCTGAGTTGTTAAGTTCGTCCTAAATTTTATCTTTCCTTGACCCCAGAGCACAGTAGCACCGGAAAAAGGTTCACTTTCTATAGCAAAAGCGATCCAGTGTGTAGTGCACTGCTTTGAGGGTACTTCCTGTTCTACAAGTGCTTTCCCATTGTCTCATGTGTTGAGAGGTCGGATTGCTTGTTAAGGACCCCCTAAAGGGAATGGTAGGGGGCTGGCGTGGTCGGGCAGCAGGGTAAGCCGCCCCTCATAGGCACTGGTTTGAGTCCTGGCTGCTCGCTCCGATCCAGCTCCCTGCTAGTGCACTTGGAAGGTAGCAGAAGACGGATCAGGTACCTGGGCCCCTGCCACCCGGGAGCAAGAACTGGGTTGCATTCCAGCTTTGGCCCTAGCTCTGCACTGGCCATTGGCAGCCGGGGAGTGAACCAGCAGTGGGAGCTCTCTCTGTCTGTCTCCTTCTGCCTCTCAAATAAATAAATAATTTGAAAAACCCGTAGACTGGAAGGAGACTGGGCTCAAATCTTGGCTCTGCCACTTATTCGCCATGGGTAGTCTGGATGTTGTCACTATGGTTTACTTCTTGTAAGATTAAGGTACTAACAGTGCTCACCTCAGTGTTGTTACAAGGCGAAATCAGTTAATACTCTTAGATGGCTTCAAATTTTATTTTGTAGCCAAAAATAATAATTATAATTAAAAATGACAGTGGGGTGTAGAGGGAGATAACTTATACCTGCTGGTTCACTCCCCAAATGCCCACAGCAACCCACACATGAACATGTTAAAAACCATTGTTTCCCGGCGCCGTGGCTAATTAGGCTAATCCGCTGCCTTGCGGCGCTGGCACACCGGGTTCTAGTCCCTGTTGGGGCGCAGGATTCTGTCCCAGTTGCCCCTCTTCCAGGCCAGCTCTCTGCTGTGGCCTGGTAGTGCAGTGGAGGATAGCCCAAGTGCTTGGGCCCTGCACCCCATGGGAGACCAGGAGAAGCACCTGACTCCTGGCTTCGGATCAGCGTGATGCACCGGCCGCGGCGGCCATTGGAGGGTGAACCAACGGCAAAAGGAAGACCTTCCTCTCTGTCTCTCTCTCACTGTCCACTCTGCCTGTCAAAAAAAACAAACAAACAAACAAAAAAAAAACCATTGTTTCCCAGACCAATCTCATGAATCTGTAAATTAAGTCTTAAAGTACTTTCACTTCTTTTTATTTTTTTTAATTATGTTTATTTTCATCTACTTGACAAGCAGAGCAATAGAGAGAGAGCTTCCATTGCTGGCTGACTCCCCAGCTGGCTTCAACAACCAAGGCTGGACTGGGCCAAAGCCAGGAGTCCTGAACTCCATCAGTGTCCCACATGGTGGGCAGGGGCCTAAGCCCTTGAGCCATTGTCTGCTGCCCCTGGAGCGCTAGCAGGAAGCTGGATTGGAAGCAGAGTAGCAGGGCCACCAGCCAGCACTCTCATGCAGGATGCTGGAGCCCCAGGTGGCAGCTGGACCTGCTGCAAGGCCTGCCTCTGGGATGGTCATATGAAAATGAATCTGAAATCTCTTTGTCTTTTAAAGGGGCAGGGCAGGGGTATCTGTGGCACAGCAAGCTGAACTGCCTGTGATGCTGACATCCCACATCTGAGCGCCAGTTCCAGCCCCCACTGTTCTGATCTAGCTCCCTGCGAACATGCCTGGGAAAGCAGCAGAATGTGGCCCAGGTAGTTGAACCCCTCCCACCCATGTGGGAGACCCAGGTGAAGTTCCAGACTGCTGGTTCTGGCCCGGCCCAGCCCTGGCCTTTGCAGCCATTTGGGGCTGAACCAGCAGTGGATGATCTCTCCTCCCTCTCCCCTCCCCAGCCTGTTTCTCCCTTCTCTGTAACTCTCCACTTCAAATAAGTAAATAAATCTTTTTTTAATAAAAGGAATTAGGGTTTCTTGCCTATTGTGAGCAATTACCTCAAGTCTATGCATTTTATCAGGACCTACTGTAGTTATTAAAGTGCCATTGCTCATTTAGTAATTAAATGATCTTAAAGGCTAGTGTAGTGGCTGAATAATACATTCTAACTTAAATAATAATGTATTGGCTGGCACCGTGGCTCACTAGGCTAATCCTCTGCCTGCGGTGCCGGCACACCGGGTTCTAGTCCCGGTCGGGGTGCTGGATTCTGTCCTGGTTGCCCCTCTTCCAGGCCAGCTCTCTGCTGTGGCCCGGGAGTGCAGTGGAGGATGGCCCAGGTGCTTGGGCCTTATACCCCATGGGAGACCAGGAGAAGCACCTGGCTCCTTCTTTCAGATCAGCGCGATGTGCCGGCTGCGGCGGCCATTGGAGGGTGAACCAACGGCAAAAGGAAGACCTTCTTCTCTATCTCTCTCTGTCACTGTCCACTCTGCCTGTCAAAAAAAAAAAAAAAAAAAGTATTGTCAGCTAATTGCCATGAGGAGGTCTGGGCCAGCCTGAAGGAAAGCCAGGAGCACCATCCTGGTTTCCCACGTAGGTGGCAGGGGCTCAAGTGCCTGGGCCATCTTCTGAACATAAGATGAGGCTAATTCATATTTGTTATGAAAACTTAATGAAATGCAGAGTCGTCATTTAGGGGGTCAGGTATAAAATTTTCTGCTTTCTTTACTAAAATAAACTGTTATCTCCAGTCTCCAGACAAAAGTGTCGCTCACCTAAAGTCCTTTTTAGCTACCATCCTGAAAACATCATTGCTATGTATCAAGGACAAGATGGAATTTATTTCTCCAAACGTGTTTCCTTTTTCCCAAGTTCTTTGATGTAGAAGTTCAGCGGCTGTGTCCTGTGCAGTACATCATCCCGAGATGCTTCCAGCCCTTCTGCGTCAGCGCACCTGTAGAAAAGTATTTATGTCACCTGGGACAAGGGACAGATGGCTGCTGGTTATAGAGCTGCTGCAGCCCCCAGCTGGGAGAAGAGCTGGGGAGCAATGTGCCGGGCACACCTGTGTCCAGTCTCTTAAGTGGCGCTCTGAAGCCATCTGCTGCTGGATGCAAAGCCACAGTCATCACTAAAATGTGTGTGTGTGTATTTAAGAAAGAGATACATGGAGATAGGCATGTCTGTCACCTGCTGGTTTACTTTCCAGAAGCCTGCACCAGCTGAAGGTGGGCCAGGCTGAATCCAGAGCAGGAACCTAATCCAGGTCTCACATAGGGTGCTAGGGACTCAGCCACTGAAGCCATCCCCAGTGCATGTGAGCAGGACGCTGAAATTAGGAGTGGAGCTGGACTTGAACCCAGGCACTCTGATAACAGGATTTGAGCAACCGAAGTGATGTCTTAACTGGGGGGTCTAAATGCTTCTTGCCTTATTTTTAAGTTTTGCTTTATTACATTTGGAAGCAGGGATGAGGTGAGGCTGGGAAACAGAGACATAGACAAAAATCTCCCATCTTCTGTTTCGCTTCCCAAATGCATGCTTCAGCCAGGGCTTGACCAGGTTGAAGGCAGGAACGTGGGAGTGACTTTAGTTCTTCCGTGTGGATGGGAGAGACCCAGGTCACGTGCTGTCTCCCAAGGTGCACGTTAGCAGAAGCTGGATTTGGAAGCAGAGCTGAGTCTGAAATTCAGGCAGTTCATTATTGGGTGCAGAATCGTGGGTGTTCCAAGTGGCTTCCTAACTGCTGCACCAAAGTGACTATATGTGTTTTTTAGTTGACACACAGTACATAGTGATGGAGTACACTGGAGTGTGGCATTTCAGTACATGTGTGTAGCGTGTGATGTTCAGATCAGGGTATATGGCATATCTGTTACCTCAAATATTTCCTTTTTTTGGAGGGGGCATTAAAAATTCTGTTAGCTATTTTGGAATACTCAGTTAAATACTGTCAGCCATAGTTATCCAACTGTGCTGTAGAACACTAGCAGTGACTCTTCTCATAGAGCTGAACCCCCGAACCATTCTGTCTGCTTCCTCCGTCATCCTTTCAGTTGAGGGATTATCATTCCCGGAAAGAGATGCGCTGAGAACAGTTTTGAACAAGGAACAGATGAACCCAGAGGGAGAGGTGGGATGAAGGAAGTGCTGAGAAGTGTTAAGGAGCGTGGAAGGGGGTAAATTTAGTAGGAGAAAACATAAGCAAAATTCCGGGTACAGACTATTTGCATTGTTGGCTGGTAGTTTAGGAATATTTGTAATACTGGGTTTGTTTTTCAGTCTATTTAAGAGGATATAGAGTGGGAATTAAATGAAATTTCTTAAAGAATTATTATCTCTGGTTTGAGAGAGTCATAATACAGTCTTTTTTAGCTACTAATATTTGTTTCACAAGCTGATGTGAGATGAGCTCAATTTTAGATCTCTTCTAAAATTGGAATTAGGAGACAGCACTGTGGCGTAGCGGGTAAAGCTGCTGCCTATAGTGCCGGCATCCCATATGGGCACCAGTTGGAGTACTGGCTGCTTCTCTTCTGATCCAGCTCTCTGCTATATCTTGAGAAAGCAGTAGAAGATGGCCCAAGGCCTTGGGCCCCTGCACCCAGTGGGAGGCCTGGAAGAAGCTCCTGGCTCCTGGCTTTGGGTCGGCCCAGCTCTGGCCTTTGAGCCATGTGGGGAGTGAACTAGCAGATGGAAGACTTTCTCTCTGCCTCTGCCTCTGCCTCTTTCTAACTCTGTCTTTCAAATAAATAAATAAATCTTTAAAATAAAATAAAATTGGAATTAAATATGGAATTAAACCACTCATAAGTAATTTCCCTGAAAACCATGTTTTTATTGTAGGTTTAAGATTGACAATAGGCCGGCACTGCGGCTCAATAGGCTAATCCTCCACCTGCGGCGCCAGCATTCTGGGTTCTAGTCCCCATCGGGGCACCCGATTCTGTCCCAGTTGCTCCTCTTCCAGTCCAGCTCTCTGCTGTGGCCAGGGAGTGCAGTGGAGGATGGCCCAAGTGCTTGGGCCCTGCACCCGCATGGGAGACCAGGAGAAGTACCTGGCTCCTGGCTTCGGATCAGTGCGGTTCGCCAGCCACAGCGGCCATTGGGGGGTGAACCAATGGTAAAAAGGAAGACCTTTCTCTCTGTCTCTCTCTCTTTCACTGTCCACTCTGCCTGTCAAAAAGAAAATCTAAAAAAAAAAAAAAAAAAAAAAGATTGACAATAAATTTTTAAAAATTTGTTTTTTTTAAAGGTTTATATATTTATTTGAAAGGCAGAGATACAGAGGGAAAAGAAGAGAGATATGTGACATCCACTGATTCACTCCCCAAATGGCTGCAACAGCCAGGACTGGGGCAGGCCAGAGCCAGGAGCCAGGAGCTTCTTCTGGGTCTCCCACATGAGTGTAAGGCCTCAAGTACTTGGTTCATCTTCTGCTGCTTTCCCATGCACTTTAGGGAGGTGGATTGGAAGTGGAGCACCTGTGTCTTGCAGTAACGCCTGTGCCCCAAATGGCTACTTAACCCCTATGCCACAACACTGGCCCCAGCAATAAATTGTAATTAAAATATTTACATTAAAAAATATAAATTTTAACTTATCAGATAACTTGTAAAAATAATTCCTATGACTGTGAGTTCAGTGCTGAGTTTTAAATCACCGTATGATCTCATTTGTTTCAGAAAGTATAAGTACAAGTGTTTCTAAAATATAGACTAAATGCTTGAATTACTTTAGGTCATTTTATTTCGTTGCTTTGCTTACCATAGCACAAAGGAAATGTTAGAGCATTATAATAACTGATAAACCAGTCCAGGTGGTACAAGAGATAATTTTAGTTTTTAGAATAATGCCTATGTTTCAGAATCCCTGAAAGATGTTTCCATGGGGTTCGGTGTCACATAAATTATATCCCCATCTTAGAAATTCATGATGTGTATAAGTTTATTCAAGGATCAGAGAAATTAGGTCATTATAAAACAAGTTGGTATTTTCTTTAACTTGTTTGGTGGAGTTCTCCCCTACCCATGAAATACCCTTTAAGTTTTTGCAAAATGGACTGAAAGACACTGGTGTTTGCTGACCTAGTAATCTCTGTTTGGCTCATGGGCTGTTGGTGTGGCCAAATCATGTTTGCTGTGGTAAGAAATGGGAAAGATTCCCTTAGATTCCTGAGGCAGGTGAATGGTGGAGACTTCAGCAGAGGTGCCGATTTGATTCATTCCTGCTGAAGACCTGTGGCACAGCTGCCCTAGTTTGCACTTTCCTGGGGTGGGGCTGATCATGATGTATACAAAAGACATCTTTGGGGTATCCACGGGCCAGTAGTTCCATCTCCATTTAAAATTGGGCAAGGTTTTGGAAGGGGCAAGCAGGCCAGCATGAGGACTGAAGAAGTGACTGTCCCTGGCTGCAGGGGAAGCCTCTGAGATGGAGTCACTCTGGGAATTCCTAGGAACTCTGTACCAGGAGCAGGGGACAGGGACCAAGTGTTTATTACTAATACAGCAAATTACCAAAAATTGACTTGCCTTTTATTCACATTGTTTATACTTTTTTAAGAAAAATTATTCATTTTTATTTGAAAGGCAGAGTTAGAGGGAGAGGCAGAGAGATCTTCTATCCCCTGGTTCACTCCCCCAAACAACTGCAACAGCCAGGGCTGGGCCAGTCCAAAGCCAGAAAAGCCAGGCGCTTCATCCAGACCTCGCACATGGGTGCAGGGGCCCAAGCACTCTGGCCATTTTCTGCTGCTTTCGCATGCGTATTAGCAGGGAGCTGGATTGGTAGTGGAGCAGCTGGGACTCAAACCAGCTGCCATATGGGATGCCAACACTGCAGGCAGCAGCTTAACCCACTGCACCACAGCACTGGCCCCCTGCCTAGTACTCTTTAGAAGGATTGATTTATTTATTTGAAAAAAAAAAAAACAGAGCAAAATACAGAGAAGAGAGAAAAGAGCTAGAGTTAGGGAGAAAGACACCTTCTGATTCATTCCCCAAATGCCAGCAACAGCCAGGGCTGAGCCAGGCTGAAGCCAGGAGCCAGGAACTCCATCCGGGTCTCTCATATGGATGGCAGGAATCCACATATTTGAGCCTTTGCCTCCCAGAGTCTGCATTAGCAGGAAGCTGGAGTCAGGAGCTGAAGCCAGAGCCAGGGACTCCAATATGGGACTTGGTGGTGAGGGTTCATGTACTGGATTAGAAAAACAGTTGCTAGGAAGCACATTAGAGGAACACTTAGTAAAATCTGAAGGTGGAATGTATAATAAATAATAGCACTGGACTGACTTTAAACTTTTGGATTTGGCATTCAGTGCAGCAATTAAATGGCTGCTAGGGATGCCCGTGCCCCGTGTCTGAGGGCCTGGTTTGAGGCCCAGCTCATCCATTTCTGACTAGGTTTCCAGCTAATGGACAGTCAGCATACACCTGCTGTGGTGATGTGACGTGCCCTTTGTTAACTCGTCTGGAATGTGGAGAGCGGATTGTTAGCCAGTGGCAGCTTGTAATCATCTGTGGTGTATTTACACCACAAGAACTGGTGTGTGAGACAAATCAAGAGTTCTTTTTGTCTTATGTGTTTTATTTTATTTTGCTTTTTTTCCCCAGCACACCACGGGAGCTGAATGATGCCAGATGTTGACCTTTTGAACCTGTTTGCTCTTCCATGAAGGTATCATAATGCATGTAGAGTGCTAAGTGTATCCTAGGTGCCGTGCATGAACTCATTTACTGATTCCAACCTTAGTAGATGTTATTAGCAGCCCCATTTTTCAGATCAGACACTAAAAGGCACAGGTGAAGTCACTTGCCTGTCGTACAAGTTTCAGCATCTAACAGGTGCACCCCTAAACCCTCCAGCCTTCTGGGGTCACTGTTTAAGTCTTCATCCTGTGTACTGTGAGATGTTCCAGATTTCCTGATGTTTCTTAAAAAAAAAAACTTATTTGAAAAGATACGGGGGGGTGGGGATGAAGAGAAAGAGTAACCTTCCATCCGCTGGGTCACTCTTCAAATGGCCGCAACAGATGGGACTGTGCCAGGCTGAAGCCTGGTGCTTTTTCCAGGTCTCCCACATGGGTACAAAGGCGCAAGCACCTGGGCCATCTTTACTGCTTTCCCAGACACATTAGCAGATAGCTGGATCAGAAGTGGAGCAGCTGGGGCTCGAACCAACACCTGTATGGGATGCCGGCCTCACAGGCAGTAGCTTTGCCCACTACACCACAACATTGGCCTCTTCCTCTGTTATTTCTAAGCCCTGAGGACTGCTGTGTCCTCTGGCCACTCCTCACTCTGAATCCCTGCTTCTGGGCTAGTTCTCGGCCCATCTTGTTCCTCCTCCAGTGATTTCCCTTTCTCAGCATAGTTGCGTCCCTACTGTGGCCACTCGTTACTCGTCCATGCGCCAAAACATCACAGAAATGCAAATATTCTGACAGTTTGTGGGTTTCTCTTTTTTCTCTTTTTTTGCTGTTAGACACAGTCATTGTATATACAATGAGTCTTCCTCAAGAAGTTCGTGGGACATGGTTCTGGTTCTGTCGCTGAGACACGTGAAGGTCGGAGACTTGGTGTGGAGGCTGGCTCGGCGCTGGTGGACGCTGGGATGGATTCGTCCTCGTCCGCGGCGGGCTTGGGCGCGGTGGACCCGCAGTTGCAGCACTTCATCCAGGTGGAGACCCAGAAGCAGCGCTTCCAGCAGCTGGTGCACCAGATGACCGAGCTCTGTTGGGAGAAGTGTGTGGACAAGCCTGGGCCGAGGTTGGACAGTCGGGCTGAGGCCTGTTTCGTGAACTGCGTCGAGCGCTTCATTGATACGAGCCAGTTTATCTTGAATCGACTGGAGCAGACCCAGAAATCCAAGCCAGTCTTCTCCGAAAGCCTTTCTGACTGACCACAGCATTATGTCTTTGGAAAAGGAAGGTATTGAGGACATGCAGAGTGATTGGTGGGATGGTGGCAGAAATACCCAGGGGAGATGGTTTTCCTGTTTTGTCACACCTGCAACAAAGTCCTGTGATCGAAAATGAACGATCATTTTGTGTGCGGGGTCTGTGGGTCATGTGGATCTAGTTGCTGGGTATTTGTGTGCCAGGTCTGTAGGTCGTGTGTGGATTTGGTTGCTGGGTATTTGTGTGCTGGGTCTGTAGGTCGTGTGGATCTGGTTGTGTTTGACTCTAGTTGGGTGAACATAATGCACGGGTGTGTGGGAGGCTCAGTTAGATGTGTGTCTGTATTGGGACTATGCTTTTCTCAGTGTCCCCTTTAAGTACTCCTTATAATTTGACAATGGAACTGCTTTCTATAATTTGATAGTAAAGTGAAATCTCGTTTGTGTGGATTCATTTCATATTTCTGGGGAGATATTTGTGTCCAAAAAGGCAGCAGTGAGGGGGAGAGTAACCTGGCACAGAGCTGCAGGCCTCCTTACGGAGCATCTGACTGCTAGTGCTGGGAAAACATGAGTGCAGTGTGCAGGACGTTGGCATTTCTAGATTACCTCCCCGCCCTGCACTGTGATTTGCCCAAATATCTATATTAAAATATGGTCTCAGGACAGTACAGGCAGCCCGAGTCTGGAGGCCTCTAGTTAGTCAGGACTCAAGCCAAGAACAGAATTCATCCGCTGGTTCACTCCCCAATTGGCCGCAACAGCTGGAGCTGAGCCCATCAGGATCCAGGAGCTTCTTCCAGGTCTCCCACACGGGTGCAGGGGCCCAGCAGGGAGCTGGATCAGAAGTAGAGTAGCCGGGACTCGAATTGGCACCCATGTGGGATGCTGGTGCTGCAGGCGGTGGCTTTACCCACTATGCCAGCCCCATGCTTCGTTCTTTTGATCATTTAAATAAAAGCTTCTACAAGATTGAAAAATGTTCATGGGAAAAGCCCATTAACTTTAAATTCTATTTTTCCATGAGTTTTTTTTTTGAAGCCACCTCATATTTACAAGGGATTAAGTGGCATTGCAATACATGTATACAATGCATAGTGATAAGATCATGAGAAGCATATCTCACCTCAGACATTTACAGTATCTCTGTGTTGGGAACAAAGTCCTGTCTTAATTGAATAATTGCTAAGCATGGTTCCCCTACAGCTCTGTAGAACGTTAGTAGTTACGCCTCTTACCCATCTGCACCCCTGCACTCACCTGTTAACCATCCTCTCTCGCTTGCAAACCTTCCCAGCCTCTTGAGGCCAGTAGTCTACTCTGCTCCTACATTCAACTCGTTTAACTCCCACATGTAAGGGAGGACGTGCGTCTGTGTGTCTGACTCCACTGAGCAGTGTCCTCCAGGCTCTGCTGTGTCGCTGCAAGTGGCAGGCTTTCCTGAAGACTGGCGTGATGAGAGTTGATGACACCACAGCACAGGAAAGAGCGCGGAAGTGCCGACTCAGTTCTTCCTGTCTTGGCCTCTCCTCAGACCAAGGCCGCCCCCCATTCAGGCTGTGGGAGACTCTTCCCCGTGGTACCTGCCTCCCCGTTCTGGGGCTTCTACACCCGCAGCCAATAAGTTGCTGAGCCTGGAAAATTGAGCAGCTTCAGACTGGTGAGCAGAAAGGCCAGCATTTCTGGGTCTTGTGCTCAGCCAAGTAGCTCCTCACTCTTGATTATCCCCTGGGGTGGGATAATCTTTCTCTCCCTCTGTGTTATTCTTCTTTCAAATAAATAAATAATAAACAGAAAAGGTAGGAGTGGGATGCAGTAGAAAGGTTCCTGGGTTGACTCAAGTTCCAGGTTCTACTTTGAGTTGTGCCCTTGAACTACTCAGTGCCCTGGAACAAGCCACAGCCCTTCTCAGGGCTGTGTGGGTTAGATGGCCGCCTTCCAGTGCTAGAGTGTTTTTTTTTTAACAGGCAGAGTGGACAGTGAGAGAGAGAGAGGGAGAGAAAGGTCTTCCTTTTGCCATTGGTTCACCCTCCAATGGCCGCCACTGCCCGCACGCACGCTGCGGCTGGCGCACCGCGCTGATCTGATGGCAGGAGCCAGGTGCTTCTCCTGGTCTCCCATGGGGTGCAGAGCCCAAGTGCTTGGGCCATCCTCCACTGCACTCCCTGGCCACAGCAGAGAGCTGGCCTGGAAGAGGGGCAACCGGGACAGAATCTGGTGCCCCGACGGGGACTAGAACCGGTGTGCTGGCGCCGCAAGGCGGAGGATTAGCCTATTGAGCCGGGGCGCCGGCCAAAAACTGGATTGGAAGAGGAGCAGCTGGGACTAGAACCAGCGCCCATATGGGATACCAGCACCTTAGGCCAGGGTTTTAACCGGCTGTGCCACAGCAAGAGTTTTGTTGAATAATTTTAATCTACTTCAACCTATGCGTGTACTGAACATGGGTTAGGCCCCTGTTTATTTTTGTGACCAATTTCCCCACCAGAAGTTTTGGAGGGGAGGCACTGTCTCCCAGGACCCAGCACAGCCCTGGCACATCGTGGGCTCAGTGATTGAAGCCCAAGGGGTTGGGAGTACTTGAGGGTCCTGCTCAGGAGTCTGGCGTCTCCCCAGGGCTGGAGTCTCAGTGGCTCAGAGGCCTCCACTTTGTGCCCCAGAGACTCCGTCCAAGCCTGCCCACAGCCTTGACCACTGACTACCAGGAGGACACCCAGGAGCAGACC